CTCCAATAAGATTCTTTTTCAGAAATTTAAACCTACTGTCTGTTGCAGTAGGAGGGATATTACTCAGTACACATGAATTTGTCTATGATATTCAGAAATCTTATTTTAACTTTATTCCAGATTGCTGTTATTGATTTCTGTGAAAATAAAACAGGAAATAGAAACTTCGTTAAGCTTTGGATCAGCACCTCTAGCTACCTTCATGAATCAACACCTCCTCAGATAACTAACACGAAGGCATGCCTTTCTTCACATTACATAAACATTAACTGAAGGAGAAAACATACTTTTTAAGAAAGAGGAAAGATGAAAAAAAAAAAAAAAAAAAAGAAAGGAAACCTTCAAGGCATGCCCGTGCTTCCTTTAACTTTTTTTCCATAGCCATTTGTAGCAAACAGGACAGCTGGTCAAAACTGCGAACTCTGAGAGTTGCTGACGTGAGAAGAAGCAGTGGCTGGCCATCTTTGCCTTTGGCTTCAGACTGAACAGTTGCTTCACTAGAAAAATTAAATTATACCTTTTTAAAATAAGAACTTTAATAAACAGCAAATTTTAGGATCTTGAATGTTATTCAAGCTTCACATGATAAAGCATATTCAATTTCTTTAAACTGCATTTCAGAAAACTTCCAAGGTAAATCAACTTATTTACTACAAAACATCAGATAGATGTGCCGGAAGGAGGCTGGGACCCTATGGAAAGCCCACATTGGAGCAGGCTCCTGGCAGAACTCATGACCCCATGGGGAACCTACCTGAAGGACTTGCACCCTGTGGAAAAGACCCATGCTGGAGCAGTTCATGAACTGCAGCCTACGGGAAGGACTCACATTGGAGAAGTTCGTGGAGGATGGTCTCCTGGGGATGGGACCCCACGCTGGAGCCGGGGAAGAGTACGAGGAAGGAGCACCTGAGGCAATGCATAATGATCTGACACACACAAAACCCTCACTCCTTGTCCTCCTGTGCCACGCAGGAGTGAGGAGGTAGAGAAGATCAGGACTGATGTTGAGCATGGGGAGAAGGGAGAGGTTTAGGGAAAGTGTTCTAAGATTTGGGTTTATTTCTCATTATCCTACTCTGACTTTTGATTGGTAATAAACCAATTTCCATGGGTCGAATCTGTTTTGCCTATGATGGTACTAGGTGAGAAAACTTGTTCTAATCTTCACCAATGAGCCTGTCATCGTGTTCTTCTCCCTGTCCATCTGAGGAGGGGAATGAGAGAGCAGCTTTGGTGGACACCTGGCATCCAGCCAGGGGCAATCCACCACACAGGAGCCACTCCTAACACTAACAGAAATCACAAGGATAAGCACTGCTAGATGCACATTGCAAAAAGTCCTACAAATACAGTGCAAGTTGTATAAAATACTAACTAAATGTCTGACTGAGAATAGTCTTACACTCTCAAAAAAACCCACAAATTTTCACTCCAAAATTTCAATCTATACATATACGAGTAAAAACCCCACCCATTACAGCCTCCCAGATACACTAGGGCTGTCTTTATGCTAAATGAGCAGTTTTGCTTTGTAGTTCACCTTCAACATTTCAAAACAAACCACAATCCAGACTTACCTGATCTCATAGCCCTCTCCAAATACTGAACAGCCCAACCGCGTTTTCCACTCGAGGGCCTCTCTGAAGACAAATGCTGCTTCCTGAGGATGTCTAGTACTGAAGTCTTCTACAAACTTAATAATTTGCTTTAAAATAGATTCATTTAAAGGGGTGATTTCGAGTGTGCCAGTCCCAGAACCAGCAGCAGTCCACTGAGCTGCTCTTGACAATGCCGCTCCCATTGCCGTTGACTAGTCTCAAAGGTGTACACCTTGGCAAAGAAACAAAGAAGGACCAAACAGAGCTTCTCAAAACAGAAATGCAATACGTTGTGGCTGCTATAATTTGAAATAAACATATCTAGGAATTATGAGGTTCTTTTAACTCATTTGAATCTCCAAAGTAGGGAAGGGGCAATTGAAGAAGAGCACACACAAAAATTTTTAAAGAAAGAGGGGAATATGGTGAAAACCCAGGGTTTTTTTCATCTTGGTCAATTAACGCCTGGTGCTGTTAGAAACAGCGGGTGCTGTTAGAAACAGCCGCATCAAGTTTCTGTGGTGGCTGCAACAAAAGGCTCTCCGGTTCTCCTTGCGAAGCTGACGACACTGCTACAAACCGTACGTGGCGGGGGACAGACACACGCAACCCTCACAACGGCCCCCCCGCCCCCCTCGACACCTTCTCTAAATGGAGGGAAAAGGGGGAGTCAGACCCGCCCGTGAAGCCCGGAGGGACCAAACGCCACAG